ACCCCTTTTGGGACTGAGCGGTATAGAAGATGAATGGTTTATTATTATTAATCTAATGTAGCATCTGGTTGAGATGGAACAACTTATTTTATGATTATTTTCCTTATTGAATAATCTGATAATTATGATCTTATTTAATCAATTAATCTATAAATAAATGTCATAAAGTAGTCACAAATCAGAGCCCAATGTTTTGTCCAACCAGCTTTAAACATGTCAAAAATATTACTTTTAAGGTGATAGAGAACAGTCACAACTAACACAACTTTGCTGTAAAAAGAAATACTCTAAAAGTAGTAGAACAGATGTATAAAGTAAATTTAAATAAACGCAATAGGTGCAACACAGGTAAAATAAGATACTTTCTTCCACTGACTACATGTTTATGTGGACCTGTGTACACATGCAGAGGCTGCAGTGTGATGATAGCGGGAGATTCAGGAATGCTAATGTTTCCTCTGTGGCTTTTGTGAGGAACACAGTGATTAGACCTCCAGCCCCCTGGGTGGAGCCCCTCGCTGCACCGGCTCTTGCTCAGTGTCAACAGGAAGGTCAGCTGGGTCCCAGAGGTGTCATCAAGAGATGGTGAATGGTGTGTGTGGCAGGCTTCAGTCGACAGAGAGGCTCCTCTAGAATCCCTGATAGAAATGATCGAGGGAGGAAGGGCCCTTGGAGCTTAGGAAGGGCTTCGAGAAGGATTACTAAGAGGCTAAAATGTTTTCTTTGTGGCTGAAAGAAACTTTAGAAATGTTCTCATCCAAATCTCCCATGGTCTGAGGGGACTGTGGAAACTCAAGCTACATCCTAAAGACTTCTGTGTTTTCTTGGTCTTTTGCTATCATTAACATGTCCTATATATATTTTGAACTCCATTTTTTAATCATTAAAAAGAGACTGGTGGGGGAACAAATACAGGTTCAGTCAATGTTGTATCTGGATTTGCCTCCAAACAAAGAACATTATTTGAATTATGATGGAAGGAACTGAAGGGGCATTATGGGGATGGTAAAGCTTGTTGTTGTTGTTAAGGAAACTGTGAGAGTCATTGCATTGGGTAATTTGTTCAGTTTCACAGTTTCAATCTAAGTCTAACTCCAAAACACCATGACATTCATTACATTCATCTTTCCTGAATAGGTGTATTAATCGTTAAACCTCTACAGCTTTTGTTCCTACCCTTCTATCCACTCGGGACCTCTGGTAGCTATGTATACCTACCACATACAAAGTAGTCCCCACCAGGCTCAGGGCTGGATAAATACCATTCCTTCAGAGGCTCTGTGTTAGCAGATTGCTAGAGACAGGCAGCCTGCTGTGAGGCCCAACCACACTCCCACTGTTCTGGAGAAGCTTTAAGCGAAAGATCAGGTGTCCAGCCCTGAACGCTTGATTGAACTTAAATCTTTTGCATGTGGGGCAAAACTCTCTGTACAGCACTGTGCTCTGTGTGGCTCAGACCTGGCCAGCCAGGCAACTGCTCAAAGGAATTTGAGTCATAGCAGCTCTCTGGCCTCCCTCTTTTCACTTATGTAATTGAAAATTATAACCAGATACATTTTATTTGCAGGCATTAAGAGTTACATACAGATGGTTTATTAACTGTAAATCAAGCTAATTGTCTTTATTATGCATACAAGGGCTTTGACTGCTTCATGCTACAAAATCTGTACAAGTAATCAGCAAATCAGCAGAGTGTCATTTTTATTAGAATTTTAACTAGAATTACTTCTGCTGGTGGTTTTATTTTATTTTGCTCAGAAACTTTCCAGACGTACGATTTCTTGTTATTCTTATTTAATTATAAATACATATTAAATGATATTTTTCCTTATTTATAGTTTTGGACTGAACGCATCATAAATATTTTGCAAACCAAAGGTTTGTGTGATGGACATTGTGGGTTTGTTCACTTCTGACTTCAGTAAAGTTGAGTGTGAATTGTCATTTGTGACTTTTGTCACTCTTGTGTCTAAAACTTCTTAAAACTCTTAAATTCTACTGCCAAGCTACTTCCAGCACTTCTTCAGAGGAAAACTGTGAGAGGTTTTTGAAAGATTTATTTTTGTCATAAGAGATTTTTGTTTCTGCTTAGAATGCACAGAGGGCCTTTGTTGAACATCATTCCCTCCAGTAATTGGTGTCTCTCTCTTATTAACAAAAGCAAAATACCAAAAAGTGGTTTATTGATTTAACCCTGCCTGTTTGTCAGAACTCTTTGCTTTGGTCAAGCCAGCAACCAAACTGGAAATTTTGTTATATTGGCTAAGAATGATATCCAGAACTACAAAAACCTATCTATCTATCTAAATTTAGAAGAAGAAGCTTTATTTTATTGTCATTGTGACACATACAATGAAATTTCGTTTGAAGCCGAGGACCCCGGGCTGCTGCGTGCATACTGTACACGTCGCCATCACAGGCAACTTGGGGGGTTCAGTGTCTTGCCCAAGGACACTTCGACATGTGGACTGCTGGCACCGAGATTCAAACCCTCAACCTTCCGGTCTGGAGACAACTGCTCTACCCACGGCACCGATTTATGATTTTATATTGTGTGTGCGTCTAAAGCCTAATATATCTTATTCCTCTGTGCCAGGTCCACTGTTGTCCAGGAGCTATTAAAACACATCAGTGAGTCATTGCTGGCCTGGGCGACATGTTCCTTCATCACCATGAACACACATTATATTTTATTTTAAGTCAGTCTCACATACACAGTATCCTCTGCTGCCGCTGCTGGAAATGCTGACTAAAACATAAAATGGTGATTCATCCGCTTTCAGAAATAGTGCTCATCAAGTGCAGTATTCCTGTTTGATTGCTTTTACTACCTGTTTTAGGACATTAATAAATATATTTTTGTAATTGGCTTTTATGTTTTACATCTTTACTAAGAACCAGTGAAGTAACAACAGAGAAAGGAAACCAGAAAGTAGTGAGGGATGGTCTAGTGTATTAGTTCTGGTCTTTTCATGGGATTTGTTGACATCAGTGTAACTAAAGCTTGACCAGATATAATGATACATTGACCACTACCAGTATCAGGTCAGTACTGATGCTTCAGATGTTATCAGTGCATATCACGTGAAAGTAATGGAATTCTGTCCCTCTAGTAAAAAAGTGGAGCTGACCATATACATTATGTTAATAAACCTTTTCAAGCTGCCATTTTAATGTCCTCTTCAGTAATAAGAGTGACTTTATCAAGTTGCATTTCTAAAACCCTGTCATCTGTCGGCAGGTTTTGTGTGGAGAGCTGGATACTGGGCAACGAAGCAGACAACGACACTGAAAACGGTTGTGTTGCTGTGGGCAAGCTAACTGTAAGTTGTCAGTTGCCTTCTTATAAACCCATATCATATAGCCTGATTGAATAAGCTTGTCTGTTTATACATGTACATGTCATTAACAAAGCTGTGTCTCATTTTAAGTATGTGTCACATGAGTCAGTGTTCATTTTGCCCTGACAGACTTTCAGTAGTAACATATGTTGGCAAAGGTCAACATCAGCATGTGCTATAATTTAAGAGCACAATGAAATGTAATTCATGCTACAAACATGAATCAGATCCAGTCCCCCCCCAGATTAAATCAGATCTGGGTCACTTTCATATGTGGTCCTAGACCTGATTCATATCCGATATTTGATCATGTGACTGACATCAGAACGGTCCCTTGCGCATGTGCTTATAGCTGTTATCATTCAGTGCCATCCCCTCAGAGACTGATTAAAATAAACATGGAGGAGAGCGACAGCAGCGGGTCAGCGGTGAGACGACAGTGTTTCACATTTGTCATTTCATTTATGGAGAAGCTTCTGATCACAGTGTTTGAGGAAACTGCTATTTACCATAGCACAAGTTATAGTTGTTATTGTTGCAGCTCATGAATGTATTATTAAACCTGAATTCGGTACCATCATCATACATTCACACTGATCTGGCAATAATGTGACTCCCTGCTGTGCTTTAATGCAAGCAGCTACGCTGATCAGCGGGCGGGGGTTTGGGGGGTCTGGGGGACTGTTTGTACAATATGGCCATGTTGTGATGATTCTACCAATTCTACCACTGGTGTGTCTGCATTGATAGATTAAAAAAAACACTGTTTACCATCCAGTACTAATGAAAATGCATGGCGTGTCGTTACGGTGCGTTAACTGTGGCCCAGATTTGACAGTGAATAGCAGTGAATACTCAGGCTATCAAGGTAAACAAACGTCTTTACAAAAAGAGTTTTCTTTCTGTCCTGATCGTCCCCTGTACATGCTTGGTCAATGCAGAGCCTTTGCCTTTGCGGTGCTGGTGCCAGCTGTGGTGAATGCAATCCCCCATAGAAAGGAATGGAAAAGGCTATGTTCTTTCACATCTTTGAAAGTCAATCTGAACACGGCCTTGCTCAGTCTTTCAGATGATTTTCCCAGTGGCCACAGCTGGATGCATGTCACTTACAAACATGAATGTGAACCATGAACGCAAAAACACCAGATCTGACAGAAAGATCGGAATTTAGCATCAAGGCCTGGAATGTCAATATAGTGATAGACATGCTGGGGTCCACTTGCTACATGTGTCTCTATGCAGCCATGTATGTGCAGCCCACGACCATCATTGTGCTTATGTGTGGCTTTGCTGAGTTTCCATTTCACTCTGGCACTGTAGAGGGAAATAATGAGGAAGAGGAGTTGTTGTCTTTGTGGTATTTACTGTATGCTGGGGAACCAGAGAGAAGATGGAGAGTTCATTAAACTCACGAAACCAGTGTGCCTCAAAAATGATGTACTTCAAGTATTTTTGTGTGTGCCATATCAGTTTGATGATTGACTGCACTGAATCAAGCCTTTTGATAAACTTGCCAGCTCACACAGCCAGCTGAAGATGGCGGGATCAACATGGCGCCCACCAAGGCGAACGTGTTTGCGCGTTCCACTCTTGAATGCCGGCCTTTGCTTCATTTTCTTCTTTTTTGTGTGTTTTTTGCTTCTTCTGCAGTGCACAAATGTCATGCACTGCTTACATACAACAGACAGGCAATGCTGGATATCGCCAACTCACAAAGCCACTGGGAATTTACTGGTTTCATACCACCGAAGCTACAACTCATTGTTCGTTCCGGCTCCGGCGACAATAACAACAATGGCGAGGAAAGCCACCATCGCCCACGGGGAGCCTCCGGAGAACCAGGCACAAGCAAGCAGGCTGAAATCAGGAGAGCGACCCGGAGGCGGAGATGCAAACGGGGCAGGCGAGGAGGACTCCATGCTAGGCTAAAAGCTCGCACTACCCGACCGCCATTAACCACTTCCTAGCTAACGTACAGTCTCTGGAAAACAAACTGGACGAGCTAAGGGCTAGGATTACAACACAACGGGAAATCAGAGAATGCTGTGCTCTAGTTCTCACCGAGACTTGGCTTTCTGACAGAGTTCCAGACTCAGCGATTCGGCTACAAACACATTTTATACATTGAAACGACCGCACTGCTGCTTCAGGGAAGGTAAAAGGAGGTGGTGTATGTGTGTGTGTGTTTATTAATAACTCATGGTGTGGAGATGTATGGACTGTTCATAAGCACTGTTCGCCAGACGTAGAGTTTTTATTGCTGAAATGTCGGCCCCACTATCTAGCCAGAGAGCATAGTGCTGTGTTTCTGGCTGCTGTGTATGTTAGCCCAAGAGCTAATCCCTCTGCAGCTCTCAGTAAACTCTATGATACCATCAACGTGCTAGAGACAGTGCACCCAATTGCTGTGTTTATCGCTGCAGGCGACTTTAACCACTGCAATTTAAAGACTGTACTCCCCAAATATTACCAACATGTGAACATTCCAACTCGGGGCAAGAACACTCTGGATCATGTTTACAGTAACATACAGGTGCATACAGGGCCGCACCCTGCCCCCACCTTGGACGCTCAGACCACATTTCTTTGTTCCTGTATCCAGCTTACAAACAAAGACTGAAACAAACAAACCCTGGCACCAAACAAATTAAACTCTGGACCCCAGAGACTGAAGGCACCATGCAGTACTGTTTCGCCCAAACAGAAGGGGATG